TAGCATCAACTCTAATGGTGAATATTATTTTATGGAGTGAGAGAGATGGCCCAGAAGAATAAAAAAAATATCCAAACACCTCAGCCTGAATAAAATGAGTACCTTGGGCACTGATTGATGTCTATGAGTTACTTGGGTACTCAGGTGTAATATTCTTCTTCTTCTTCTTCTTTTTGTATAGACATGACTCTGTCTGTTTTTCAATGTGCCTCCAATAAGTTGTCGTTCCATCGTTTTCGTGGTCTTCCTACTGATCGTATTCCTATTGGGGAACCGTCTCTTGCCATCTTTAATACTCTATTTGTTGTCATGTGGCTTATATGATCGTTCCATTCTACTCTTCTATTTCTTACCCAGTTCTTAATGTTCTCCACCTTGCATCTACGTCGTATATCTGTACTTCTAGCTATGTCCCATAGTGTTTTACCATCAATTTCTCATCTCTCTCTCTCTCTCTCTCTCTCTCTCCCTCTCTCTCTCTCTCTCTCTCTCTGGTGTTTCTAACATCCTTTTTGTCTTCTCTGTATCAGGTCTTGTTTCTGCCATATATGTCATTATTGGTCTGATCACTGTTTTGTAAATTCTGCCTTTCGTTTCTTTCCCGATATTTTTATAGCAGATTATTTTAAGTTGTTTTTCTCCCATTTGGTATCCTTTTTTAGTTCTTACTTTTTTATTATTCTATCCATAATTAGATTGAACAATACAGGACTCAACGAATCCCCCTGTCTTACCCCTATTGCCAGCTTCAATAGGGTCGGTTAGTTCTTGTTCTACTTTTACTTTTTTTGTGTAGTTTTGGTACATATTTTGGATCATTTTGATTATTACTAGAGGTATCTCCCTTGCGTACAGTAAGTGGATAAGGTCTTTTAATTTTACCCGGTCAAATGCCATTGTAAGGTCCACGAAACATAGATATGCCGTTTGTTGTATTCAAATGATTTCTCTTGCACTTGCCTCAATATAAATATAGCGTTGGTGATGATCTTGCCGACCTAAAACCTTGTAGTTCTTCTGCTAGTGGTATCATTTCATTCAATTTATTTGTTATCATTTTGGTTGTTAATTTTAGTGTTGTGTTTAATAAATTAATTCCTTTGTAATTTTCCAGGTCCGATTTGTCTCCATTTTTTGAAGAAAGTTATTAGGATGCTTGATCTCCATTTATGAAGAATTCTGTTTTGTTTTGATGTGTAATATTAGGCGGTTGAATCATAGCACTGGCCCTATTACCTTGCATGCATACCGTGTGGCCAATAAATAGCATACTACCCTGCTATACTATCATGTTGCTCTAGCAGTGTAAAGCAAGTCTATTATAGATGTCGTTGAAATGGACCTAAAACGAACTTTTAACTAAGATATTAATTGCCGTATGATGCCATTTAAAATTATTTTACAAAATGGCAACCATTCGTCACTTTTAAAGACTGCTATGGAAAATTATGGACAGTTACCTTTAGTTGCTTTATTTAACCTTTAAAAATATAAAGTATAGCAATTGTTTAAGCCATGTTAGTATTTGACATGAAACTCATATTCGTGTAGGTGTCATTGAAAAAACGTGAAAATAGCTTTCATAAGGTATTATCTGTCATATGGTCCATTTAAACGCATATAACAAGTAGCATACACCACTTAATGAATACGTCACTGAAACCTCATAAATATTATGAACATATGATGTTAGTTCAGTTCTTCAGACATGAGTGAAGCAAGCTGTGATACACAGCAGTGATGAAGGCAGTTAAAAAAGCACAAAATGAAAGTTGTAGAAATGAGAATACTTATACATATAAATGAATGATGGATGTCAAAATGGATTAATATTAATTTAAGATAGAAGTATGTGAAAAAAATGTATAATTAAGCCAAATGTAAAAAAGTTAGCGTGGGAATAAAGGCAAATAGACTGATGATTTTTATTCTGCTTTTTATTTTATTTTCTTTAAAGTCTTTCGAACATTTTTTTTCCAATTATTTTTAATACATCCCCTTAATTTAATAATTTGTTGTAATAATTTATATTCCATAATACAATAAAAGGCCATTAACTAAGATAATTAATATCCTGATATACCGTTTTTGAAAAGTAAAATATTTTGAAAAATAACAAAAACTTTCAATTTGAACATACATAAACACAAATTTTCAGTATACTTACGAAATTCCAAAAGTGAACAGTCAGTAACATAATATTTCAAATTTTGAACTTTTTCTAACACTTTTGTGATAAGCCTTACAAATACACATTCAATAAGTAAAAAAATATACTGCATTACGCTTATTTTTAGTTTTCTTTTTTTTTCGAACAAACCATCATTTTCAAGGAGGACATAATGCATCAATCATTTCAAAAGTTACCGTGTTAGGCCGAACAGTTTACATGTTCATCCAATATCCATTTCTTTAATACCATATTTTGTAAATGCATGTTCGGTATTATTTATAACAATGTGATTACAATACCTCCCAGAACTAAGTGGGGCCGATGAGGGCCAGGCAGGAGAAGAGACTCATGGCTCATATCGGCCGAATTATTTAGAAGTGCTGTAAGCAAGATCAGTATTGCCATGTTGATAGCCAACGATCGCGGCGGACAGAATACCTGAAGAAGAAAAAGAACTGTGTTCTCAATTTTCTCGTAAAAAATTCCATTTTCATACCCATTGTTTATTACAATGTTCTAATTGAATCAAAAATAACAGACAACTTACTTAATAAAATTATACAAACGAGCGGTTAGTTCCATATACCCTAACGCATAATACATAAAGACCGAGACAACCAAATATCACAGTTTGATAACATTTATATAACATATAACATATATTAAAACAATGATAGAGATTTTAGAATTTCAGGAGTATAGAGTAAACGTCTTAAGTTCCCTCCCCTCCTCAACCCTAAACCTTATACTATTAAATTTCTGGGCAACTGAACCAAGACAAGTAAACATTGTATGATGTTTTAGTGGCCGATTCAGTCAAAAGTGCAGAAGAAGGTCACTTTGTAAAACTATTTAAAAAAAGATCATATAGTAATACCACCGAGATATCAAAATACAGAGAGGAGTCCAACAGCGTTGCGTTCTGTCACCACTACTCTTCCATGTCTACAGTGAAGCGGGATTTAAAGAAGCGCTCTCAGATTCAATAGAAGGTAAATCTATCAAAGGAGAAGTTTTGAATAACTTGCGTTTTGCAGACGATACAGTAATAATGACGGATAACAACAATGATTTACAGAACGTAATGCATCGACTTAATGAATGCTGTCATGAATGCGGACTAAGGATGAATTTGAAAAAAAAAAAACTAAATGTATTATGACTAAATCAGCAGATGCCAACATCCAATTGATTGGTGAGGATACTGTAATTGAGAGTGTGGATACCTACAAATACTTAGGAACAGGATAACATCAAATGTAGACCAAAGCAAAGAAATTAAGACACGTATTGAAATAGCACGTGCATCATTCGTTAAACTTAAAAGTTTCTTTGTTGTCGAGATATAAGATTAGGACTACGGCTAAGAATACTTCGGTGTTACGTATTTACAACTCTTCTTTATGGCTTGAAAACATGGACATTATAACAAGTGCATCTGAATAAGTTGGCCGCGTTTGAATTTTGGTGTTACAGCAGAATCCTACGAATATCATGGACTCAAAGAATATCAAAAGCAGAAGTTACTAGAAGAATAGAAAATGAAGATGAAATAATATTGACTATCAAAAGAAAGTGGAGGGTGGAGGCCTGGACCTTAAAGAAAGAGGTGAGCGATCGACTTGAAGAATTCGAGATGTGGACCTACCGAAGAATATTAAAAATAATTTGGGTAGACCGAATAACAACTGTTGAGGTCCTCAGAAAGATGACAAAGGAAATATAAATCATGAATACGATTAAGATAAGAAAGTTACAGTATCTCGGCCACGTTATGAGAGGGGATAAATATGTGTTGCTACAACCCTTAATGCAGGGAAAATATAGGGAAAACGAAGTATTGGAAGAAGACGCATCTCCTGGCTCAACAATCTGTGAAAGTGGTATAATTGCAGTTCTATAGACTTGTTCAGAGCTGCAATATCAAAAGCGAAAATAGCTGTGATGATTACCAGCCTCCTTAGAAGAGACGGTACCTAAAGAAGAAGATCAAAAGAAAAAAACTTGAATACTTAGGCCATGTTATGAGAGGGTAAAGATACTCATTATTGCAATTTATTATGCAAGGCAAAATTCGAGAAAAGCGAAATGTGGGAAGACGAGAACTTTAGGGGATGGTTTGAATACAGTAGTGCAGAAATATTTAGAGTGGCAGTCAACAGGGCCGCATAACCATGATCATTTCCAACCTTCTATAGAAGATGGAACTTAAAGAAGAAGATATTCAATGAACCGAATATTCAATGCTAGCCTTCAGTTTTTATGGAAAACACTTGAACAGGTCAATTTATTTTTTCAAATTTACACATTCTGATTTATTTATTTTTTTACTGATATTTGTCAAAAATATGATGACATCGACATTGTTCTTTAATAGCAATGTATGGCATGTGGTACATCATTAGCGAAAATGACGTGTCACTTCGCGAGAGAAACGCAAAAACATATAAGAACAAACTCAATGGCACACGACACTGTATAATATCTTGTGATACATATCCATATGTATACACAGGCCAGAAATGGCGATAATTTAAAAAACGGATAACTGTACACAAAATGAAGTGCCAACGGAAAAACTACGTATTTGAACAATTTAATTACAAAGAACACAACGTGAAATGTGGGAAGTAAGGATTCAAATAAGATTTAAATGTATTATTTTGAGTATATTGTTCATATTTTATATCATTGACACTTTTGAAATGATTGATAACAACAAATATCTCAATTTTCAGTTTAAATAGGCCATCTGTTCACACAAAACACAAGAGTTGTAAAAAAGTAATGATATGTTTACATGCGGAAACGAAAAGAAAGCAGTGTTGTATTGTATTGTATATTTCTACAACTTCGTTTTATAAAAAAAAGTTTAATATTGAATTCGTTTTAAAACTAACTTACAACAGTTTCATAAAAATACTAAATACATATATTGTTTAAAAAAATGACAAATGAAAGAGTGAGATACTGACAGTCCTCCGGCGAACAAAACATTCCTCTTAACTTTGATGATACTTACAAATACCAAAAAAAAAACAAAAATTTATCTTCTTAAACTCTACACTTTGTCACTTACGCAACTTAGAGAACTTGTTTTATAACCGTTTACCTTATTTTTCTTGAACTTCACGCCATCTGTATTTTTTTTTGTTTTTTGGAAGAATACCTTGGAAGATACTTAGAATCTTAAATCTGGGTACTTAGTCTTGGTCTTGGCAATTCTCCAAATACTGCATCGCCGTGTACACTTTTGGCGAGAGCTTTGATACTTGCTGCTATATCCAGGTTGTCTTCTTGTGGCTAAAATAAAAAATTTCATATTTTATAATAGAATAAAAAATAAATCAAACTACTACTATACAGGGTTCAAGACGTCGGTCGTTTATCTTCTGATTCTAAATTGACATATACAGTTTAAGTACGAATTAGTTGTAAGTAACCTCAGGATACAAGGACAACTGACTTGATATCCCGATTACTGTCTCTTAACTGATCCAGACCCGTTGATTCGGGTTAACAAAAAGATCCATATTTTCCCTAAGACTAAAGAAAAAAATCCGCTTTAACCCTTAGTCTCCCACGATGTTCAGATATTTTTTGACAGTTACTTCCCGACGGTACTTTTAAGTCCGCCTTATTTTATTGGTCATAAATTTTTACAATAAGCTAAAAACGTTGTTTATTGCGGATGAATCTTTCGACTACCTACAAAACTTATGGTGTATTTAAAATGAAATCGTGGGAATATCAATGAGGTTTTAAACATCAGTTGATAACTACGGTTGTGAGTGAAATTTTATGTGGTAAGTATTATTAAATTTATTTAAACAGATCGTGAAATTAGAATCTGACTATTATTCACAATCAATGTTTGTAGTTTTTAGAATAAACACTAAAAATTTTACAGAAATCGGATTGTTCTTATTTATATAACTGTATTTTGGACCGATCCTTAGAAGTACCGTCGGGAAAACTAACAACGATCGTATTTTATTCGCAGTTGTCGCAGTCATGGCAAAGAATAAATGGACTTCAAAAAATAAATTTACCAATAACGAACTACTAGAGATTTTGGAAGACGGTGAGTTTGATGCTTTTGATTTAATTCCATTAGATAATGATCAAAACACTGACATTGAGGATTTTGAAGAAGACGAAGAAGGTATAATAGTTATTTTTTTTATGAAAATATTTTTTTTACTTACCGACTTTATTTGTAGGTTTTCAAGCAGAAATAATAGAAACGAATCGTATAGTACGAGATATACTTCAGACTGAGGAAAACCTACAAGGTGAAGAGGAAACAGATGAAGAACAAATAATAGAAACTGATTAGAAGTGACAAAAAATGAAAGCGAAAGAAAGTGGGAACGAAAAGTAAAAGAAGATTCAGATCTTAGCGAATATAATCAACTTGAAGGAATTAATGAAAATATGAATTATGAATTTAGAGAATGCTACACTGCTCTTAGTGTTTATTTGAAAATATTAGGTCCTGCTGTAGAACATATTGTTTTCCAGTCCAACTTATACGCTACTCAACGCAATAAGGCATTAAATCTAACGGCTGACGAATTTCTGTGTTTTGTTGAAATAAATTTTTTGATGGGGTATCATCAGCTGCCCAGTCTTCAATCTTATTGGAGCACCACTAAAGATCTCAGTGTTCCTCTAGTTAGTGAGTCTATGTCCAGAAACAGATTTCAGGAGATTATATCAAACTTGCATTTGAATGATAACAGTTTACTATCCAAGGAAAACAAGGATAAACTTTATAAAGTACGGCCTTTGATGGAAATTTTAAACAGTCAGTTTGGATTATTGTACTATGGAAGTCGGGAACTATCTGTTGATGAGTCTATTGTCAAATTCAAAGGCAGAAGCAGCCTCAAACAATATAACCCAATGAAGCCAGTAAAACGGGGATATAAACTCTGGTGACTCTCTGATCAGTACGGATTTATAAAAAAGTTAGACATTTATCAGGGGAAAAATGAAGTCGTTGCAGCAAAATACAATAAGTGCACTTTAGGCGAAAGAGTTGTATTGTCTTTAACAGAAGAGGAACGCCACAAGAAAAAAATTGTTTATTTTGATAATTATTACACTACACTAAACTTACTGGAAGTTTTGCAAGGTCAGGAAATTTTTGCTTGTGGTACAATAAGAAACACAAGGAGAGGTTTACCAAAAACAATGAAGGTAGACAAAATGTTAAAACGAGGAGATGCTGATATTATGGTCTCTAACACTGATATTACATTCTATAAATGGAAAGATAATCGTGTAGTATGTCTTGCCTCAAACTTCCACGGTACCAATGAAGTTACGATTCAAAGAAAAGACAAAACTGGTAAAAAGTGTAATATAACAGCCCCATCTGCAATAGAAGATTATAATAAGTATATGGGCGGGGTTGATCATGCAGATCGGCTCAGATTCTGCTACACTATAGATAGACGCTCAAATAAATGGTGGCATCGTTTATTTTGGGGCCTGCTTGAAATTGCATTGGTCAATAGCTATGTAGTGTCAAAACACTTTTTAGACATGGAAGAGTTTACCAATGATTTAATAACATTTCGACGAGATGTGGCCATGGGACTTATCAGATCTTCTCCATTACGTAAAATGCAAAAGAAAATGTCTGATTCCCATATTGCAATGAAAAGAAGAAGATACGGATACAGTGTACTAGATAGTATAAGGCTTGAAAATCTTGGTCGTCACTGGGTGCAATATGGTAACCGTCGTGCAAGGTGTGAACTATGCAGTTCTAAAGGAATACAATCAAAACCTTATTCATTTCGTTCTGCATGCAAAGTTTATTTATGTAGTAATGAGAAAAATAATTGTTTTGTGGAATACCATAACGTTAGTTTGTAATTTAATTTAGTTTGTAATTTGTAATTTAGTCGTTGAATAAACCGACGGTACTTATAAGTACCAGTTAAAAATAAAGTATTTGTGTTATTTATTTTGCAATAATTATTTTTTTCTACAGTATATACCTATACGTGTATTAAAATATATATTTAACAGAAAATTCTAAAATTCGATCTCTTTCAATGCTTGGGATTTTAGGGTACCAGAATTTGGTGGTACTTAAAAGTACCGTGGGGAGACTAAAGGTTAAGAGCTTATCAATAAGAAGAAGCATAAATATTTTGATACACTCTAAAATTCCGTTACAAATTTAAATTCGCGGCATTGGAAATTGAAAAGTGAAAAATAAAAGTATGAAAATTAACTTACAAGATCGTCAAGGTCTTCTGTAGATGGATTTCTGGCCTGCGATAAAAATGTTGGAATATTCATAGGCAGTGATTTCGCTATACTACCTCTAGAGGGCCTATTTCTTGGCAGATTCGACCTTTCATCTTTAGTATCTGAAATAATATATAAAAAACATTAAAAAGTACATAATGAATTGAATCAAAAGTAAGTTGAAAGTAGTACAGGCACTGCTGCATCCGAGACCACGAATACAGCTTTTTTCATATGCTTTACCTCAAAAATTACTCCAACGCAAACAAATTCGAAAACAAAGTATCCTCAATATTAACAGATAAAGAAGAAAGCACTATATGGGAAACAGAGAAGAATGTACAAAGATGGAAGGCATGTATAGAAGAATTATATTCCACCAACATAATATCGCAGGAAGAGGTTAGGACAGAGGAGGAGAGTTTCCATATCTCACACGCAGGAGTAGATAAAGCCATCCAAAGAATGAAAAATAATAAAGCTCCGGATCCTGATAAAATCCATGAAGAAATCCTCAAATTGCTATAAGATGACTACATCTAACCTATACAAAACCTGTTCAACACCATTTACCAGACAGGAAAGTTTGATTGGATTCTCTCTATATTCATACTGTACCATACCACTACCAAAGAAAAGATTTCCCAAAAAATGTGAAGACTACAGAACAAATGCATTTGATGAACCATACATTGAAGATCTTTCTATACAATATATACAATAGAATAATCCTTGAACAGCAGCTGGACGAATTTCGGTTTGAATTAAAAAAAATATTTGGAATAACGGAAGCATACTCAGTATCCAAGCGTTAATTCAAAGAGCACATAATCTTGTATCTTATACCTTTTTCATCATCTGCTTTGCCTTGCAATTTATAGAAGGCGCAGTTTAAATAAAAAATCTAAATTTTGGTTTCGTCAATCAAGAAATCTTCGCATTTCTTAGATAGTGGTTGATTCTCAGATGTCGCTATAGCGTCCATATTGAAGCCATTTTAGTGTTGCTTCTTTTGACGGAAAAGATTTGATTTCACTTTTAAAGCTTCTGTACCAGTCGCTCTGATGAGTTCTGTTAGGATGAAACACGTATAAGCACAAACACATTTGGACGCCCCTCTTGATGAAAATATTCAGTATTGCAGGTAATACATTTCTCTATAAAATTTTCGCAACAAATGTGGGTTAGATACTTCGAACTGAAGTTATAATATTTCTGAAACGAGTCGATTTCTCGCAAGCCAACAAATTTTGGTGAAAGCAATTAAAAATTAAGTGTTTTAATCACTTTTAAGCCGCTGATTCTGGATTATCACACACGCCTCAATAACGGGAACATTGTGAATTTTTTGATGTCTTACCCAACGTATTAGACGCTGATAAGGCGTCTGGCATAGCAAAGGAAAGATAAGTGGAAGAATATCAACAGGAAAGTAATACCAGTCTTGATTAAACAATCTGCGAAGAAGTTTCCTTCATCATCAAACACCATCAAATAGCGTTCTATTTAGAATAAAACACTAAAAATACTAATAATCTGTTTGATTCGGAACAATACAGTACATAAAAAAGAAAACATACTTATACTGCAGAAATATTACACACATCATTTGCATAAAATATTTGACCGAAAAAAATACTGACCATCTTTATCACTTTCGCCAACGTCACTTTCTGAAAGCGAATTTATTCCGTCGCTGCCCTCGAAGTCGAACAATCCTTCTGCATCAAACGATGATATCGTTGCTGCGGGCGTACTTCTTTGTCGTTTGGGGGTATGTCTCAACTAAAACATAAGAAAACAAATAATCAGTAAAATGTTCCAATTACTTTACCACAGCACAATATTGTTGGTAGGATTTTCTGCCACGCTATATCCTAGAAGACTTTATATCAATGAATAATCAATCACTAAGCTATCTCTCATCTATTTAGCGATCAAGAAACATCACACTACAATAGTAATGGGCGACTTCAAGGCCATAGTTGGCCAGGGAAGAGTGGATGGATATGTGGGGGAATATAGTCTAGGAAATAGAAATGAACGTGGTGACCGTTTGATACAATTTTGCTAGTCGCAAGAATTTGTAATAGCTAATACACTTTTTAAGCTACCAAAAAGAAGATTGTATACATAAAAATCTCCCGGTGATACAACGAATAGAAGAATCCTAAATCAAATTGACTTTGTCCTCATTAGACAAAGATTTCGTAATTCTATACTGTCTGCCAAAACTTACTCTGTATAACATTGATCAGAAATGGGAAAATATAAAAGTAGCAATAATTAAAACAGCAAATGAAATCTTAAACCAAAGATAAGAAAACATAAAGACTGGATGACTGAAGAAATACTGCTATTAATGAATGAAAGAAAATCATTAAAAACAAAAATCCAATTAAATATAATGAAACTGAACGATTAATTAAAAAGAGAATAAAAGAAGGAGAGAATGATACATGAGCAGTGCCAAGACCTAGAAGAAATTGAGCAAAAATATGACTTTTTTAACATGTATAAAAGAACAAGAAAATTAACAGGTATGAGAAAAACACTACAAGTAAACTAGGCAACTAAGAGATCAAAGTGGTGCACTTATAACAGATATAAACCAAAAAATGCAGAGATAGACACAATATATATCACAACTTTTTGAAGACAAAGAGAGAACAGAAGCACCAGAAGCACAAGAAGAAATTGAATATGCAATGAAACAAGCTAAAGATGGTAAATCTCCCGGGCCTGATGAAGTTCCTATCGAATTACTCAAAATTGTGAATACTGAATCTATTGATCTTTTTTTGGATCTAATCAATACCATATATAGAACAGATATAATACCTAAAGAATGGCTCCAATCAACATTAATACTGTTTCCAAAAAAAGCCAATGCAAAGGAGTGCAATGAACATCGCACCATAGCCTTAATGAGCCATGTCTTGAAATTGTTTTTAAAAGGAATTCACAATAGAATACATAAGAAATTAGATGAAGGCATAAGTAATACACAAATGGGATTTAGGAAAGGACTGCTAACACTGAGAGGGTATTTGACAGAGTGCAGCATAATCGACTTAAAGAAATTTTATTAAATAAAAACATAGACAGTAGAGTTATTAGAATCACATGTAACCTCTATTGGAACCAAATAGCAAAAGTGAAAGTTGAAAATGAACTGACCGAGGATATCCAGATTCGCCGTTTGGTCCACTAAGGGTGTATTTTATCACCCTTGTTATTCAATTTATACAGTGAAGCCATCTCAGAATTAGCGCTTGCCGAGGTCATTGAGGGCCTTATAATAAACGGTGAGCCACTTAATAACATAAGATATGCTAACGACAACGTCTTTCTGGCAGGAACACTAGAAGAACTGCAACACCTTGCTGAACAACTAAATATATATTGCAACGATTATGGACTAAAAATAAATTTGAAGAAAACCAAGTTCATGGTATTTACAACAGCACAAAACATCAAAGTTAAGCTAGTACTAGATAATACAGAAATTAAACAAATATCTTCGTACAAATACCTTGGAGCATGGAACACAGAAGATACTGATCAGACAAAAAAATAAGATGCTGCATTGAAATTGCACGGTCAACTTTTAATAGAATGAGAAAACTTTTTTGTAATCGCTATATCAATATATAGCTCCGGATAAGAATGCTTCCATGTTATATTTTCTCTACCCTTTTGTACGGGATTGAAGCTTGGACACTTAAAAAATCCAACATTAAAAACCTAGTAGCATTCGAAATGTGGTGTTAACGACGTATTTTGAAAATATCATGGATAGATCGCAAAACAAACGAACAAGTTCTCGAACAACTAGGAAAACAATGCGAAGTTTTAAATTCCATAAAAATCAGGAAATTGGAATATTTGGGGCACATCATGAGAGGCGAAAAATATAAACTACTAAGGAATATAATGCAGGGTAAAATCAAAGGCAGAAGAAGCGTAGGAAAACGTAAAATCTCGCGGCTACGCAATCTCCGTGAACGGTTTGGATGCAGTTCAATTGAACTATTCAAACGCGTAACCAACAAAATTATAATTGCCAGAATGATTTCCAATCTCCGATAAGAGTGGAACTTTAAGAAGAAGAGAGACATAAAAGAAAAATATCTGTGAAACTAAAAATTTGCTAATTATTGACCAAATGTTAAAATTAATCGACTGAAGATTGCAAACCTGGAGAACACCTGCAGATATAATATCATATAGTAAGAAATCAAATCGACTATATATTAATATTAAAATTAAATTAAATCTATTGTCTTCTAGATAATAATAATAATCTTCTTCTTCTTCTTTAGGTACCATCTCCTCTAAGGAGGTTGGTAATCATAACAGCTATTTTCACTTTTGAGATTGCAGCTCTGAACAAGTCGACGGAAATGCAATTATACCACTTTCTCAGATTGTTGAGCCAGGAGATGCGTCTTCTTCCAATACTTCGTTTTCCCTGTATTTTTCCCTACATTATGGTTTGTAGCAACACATATTTATCTCCTCTCATAACGTGGCCGAGATACTGTAACTTTCTTATCTTAATCGTATTCATGATTTCCATTTCCTTTGTCATCTTTCTGAGGTCCTCAACATTTGTTATTCGGTCTACCCAACTTATTTTTAATATTCTTCGGTAGGTCCACATCTCGAATGCTTCAAGTCGATCGCTCATCTGTTTCTTTAAGGTCCAGGCCTCCACCCCATACAACAGCACCGAAAACACATAAGAACGTAATATTCTTATTTTGAGTTGTAAACTAAAGTCTCTACTGCATAATACTTTTCTCATCTTATTAAACGTTGCTCTAGCTTGTCCAATTCTCATTTTTATTTTTTCTGTAGGTATACTCGTTATTTTCATTAATAATTGTACCAAGATATCTGTATTTTTTTACTTTTTCTATTGGAACTCCTCTTATGTTTAAACTGTCTTGTTGTGTTTTGGAAATTGTCATAAATTTTGTTTTATTAGCATTAAGCGTTAGTCCGCTTTCCTCACTAGCATTTACTACATTATCTAAAAGTGTCTGTAGATCTTGTATATTCTCTGCAATTAGTATAGTATCATCGGCATATCTGATATTGTTGATGGGTCTGCCGTTGACTTTTATTCCAATTGTTACATTTTCGAGTGATTTTTTAATTATTTCTTCCGAATATAGATTGAACAATAAGGGGGAGAGTATGCAACCTTGCCTTACGCCTCTTTTTATCTCTACTTCCTCCGAAAGTTCTCTGTCGACTCTGACTTTTGCTGTTTGGTAAAGTAGAGATGAGTTATTATTCTTAAGTTTTTTTGTCAATGTGTTTCTCTTTAAGTAACTGTATAAGACGGTTGTGTCGGATAATATCGAACGCCTTGTTATAATCAATAAAACAAACGGAGTGGTTGGTTTACATCCATACATCTTTGCATGAGGACGTTAAATCCAAATAATGCCTCTCGTGTACCTATGGCATTCCTAAATCCAAATTGGGTTTCAGTGATGTCTTGTTCTACTTTTATGAAAATTCTTAAATGGATAATTTTTAAGAATATTTTTAGTGTGTGACTCATTAGACTAATTATACGGTGATCATTACATTCCCTTGCATTAGGTTTTTTTGATAATGTAATAAATGTTGATTTGAGCCAATCTCTCGGAATAATACCCGTATTATATATAGTATTATATAAGTCAACTAATACTTTGATCTAATCTTCTGATATTAATTTAATTATTTCAGTTGGAATTGTGTCAGGTCCCGCAGTTTTATTAGATTTTGCCAGATTTATTGCATGTATTATTTCATCCTTAGTTATATTTGGACTTATATCATGTTCCTCGCAATCGTTCATGCTATCTTGTTGTGTCCTGTCATCCTCAAACAATTCTTGGACGTATTCTCTCCATCTGTTTAGTTTGCCTTTTACATCAGATATTATTTTACCATTCGTATTAACCAGGGTGTTACTATTGTTGGACCGTCTTATACCTGCTAATTCTTTAATTTTTTTGTGCACTTCAAAACTATCATGATTTCTCTGGAGTTCTTCTATCTCTAAACATTTGTTGTTGTACCACTTTTCTTTAGCTGCCCGTATTTTTATCCTGATCTCCTTGTGTGTGGCTTAGTATTCGTTTACATTTTTGTTTTTGTATGATCTTCTTTTGTCCATTAGTTGCCGGATCTCATCTGTCATCCATGGAGTCTTAGCTTCATCGATTTTGTGACTACTCATCGTATTTTTTATTGGCATCATTATTGTGTTCTTAAATTTTTCCCATTTTTCGTTGGAATCTTCAATATCATTGATTATTGTTTTGCTTAACTCCTCGTAAATTTTCAACGTTAAACCATAATAATAATAATAATAATAATAAGACACTATTTTTTGTGAGAAAAGAGAATATTTCAATTGATATTGCTTATTATATTCTAACGCTGCGACACTTCAGGAGAGTATCAATCCGTCGAAGAATTTCTATTTCTTTTTATTAAACAGAAAATTTTGTTTTTTTTTATTTAGTAAAAAAAATTGTATTTACAAACATTAACTCTCCAATAAAAGTACTTATTTGTTATCTTGAATTTTTTACACAAACCACATTGCCCACATAGGTAATTACGTCTTCAACAGCATGTTATTAATATTTGAAAAAAAAATGTAATAACTTACGTTTTCTTTATACGTTACTTCTTTTGCGTATACATACTTAACATAACCTTAATACAAAATTTCAATTATAAAAACAAAATTATTCTTGTAAACTTATAACTGG